TGCCCGCCCGGTCGGCGGGGATGCGCCGTGCCCGGCCGGAGCCGCGGCTGCGGCTGCGGGGCCGCCCCGGCTCGGTAGCCCAGCGCCGCAGGTTGCATCCGGACAGCACTTGACCAGCTGTTTTGTGCATTTTCTAATTTCGTGCAGAGCAGGGCAACGGTCATAGAGGTAATCTGTAGATCCGTGGCTTTAAAGGATAAATTAGAGCATTGGATTTGATCCGTATTGCAGTGGATTAGAGCAACCTCTCCCCCCTCCCCTTCTCCTCCCCCCCCCCCTTCAATTCACTCCCCCCTCCTCCAGCACCACCTTTTTTCCTCTCATGCAATACCAAAACTGACCCTGCCTGGCAGAGGGACTCTGCTAGGCGAGCAGAGCGGTGCCCACATCGCCGGAACACCGCGGGAGCCGGCTCTCCCCTCCAGCCTCCGCAGCCCCTCCGGGGCATCGCTGCTGCAAGTTCCCCGGAGGCAGACGCCGGGGCCGGGGTGCCTCCTCCGGGCGGCGGGGAGCGGTCGCTGCCCACGGGCTCTCCCTTTGCCCCGGCCCGACGGGGGCCGTGGGGCGGCGGCGAGGGAGAGCGGCCCCCGGAGGGCTTTTCCCGGAGGCAGCGGGGCCGGGACCCGGCAGGAAATGGAAGGATGAAGTGTGCAGCCGAAGCGGTGATGTTCCTTCTCTCCTTGCTTTCCCCTGCAGGAACGTAATCCGCAATGCTAGTTCTCAGGTTGCTCAATGTTATCGCTCCAGCCTACTTCTTGTGCATCTCCCTAGTGACCTTCGTCCTCCAGATCTTTCTCTTCATCCCCAGCATGTTCAGAGACCCTTCCACCACCCCACTTTTCTCTCCTGCTCTGCTGCATGGGGCCCTCTTTCTCTTCCTCTCAGCTAATGCCCTGGGCAACTACGTTCTTGTGATCCAGAGCTCCCCTGAGGACTTGAGCAAGGGCTTAAACTTGGGTGAAGGAGCCGAAGTGGTGGCAGACTGGCTGGATGGAAGCAGGTCCCCTGGCTCAGCCTTGCCCAGCACTCACTTCTGTAGACTGTGTGCCAGAGTCACCCAGAGGCATGACCACCACTGTTTCTTCACAGGGAACTGCATCGGGAGCAGGAACATGCGAAACTTCATTATGTTCTGCCTCTACACCTCCTTGGCTTGCCTTGACTCCCTGGTGGCAGGCATGGCTTACATTTCTGCTGCACTCTCCATGTCCTTTGCGAATCCGCTGGCCTTCCTCACTCTTCTGCCTCACTCCATCAGCCAGTTCTTCTCAGGTAAGGACTCCTTCCTCGGAGACGAGGACCGTCTTCCTCCTCCAGGGTTCTTGCCATTGGGGGGACATGATCTTCCTCAGATAGCTGTGTGTATGGAGCGGTGGTGGGGAAATGGGCAAGAGGGAGAATTGGCTGTGTTCAACAAAGTCCTCTTTAGTGGCTAGAGACAGCCTTTGCAAAGGACTTTGCTTCACCTGAAAGAGAGGCTGGGACCCACTCCAGGTTACAGCCACAGCCCTATTCCTAATGCATTAGGCTCTGGAAGACGCCCCATGAACAGCTTGACGGTGACAGAATAGGGCTATCTGTTGTGCAGGGAGCGTGTGTAATTTGATGGAGGAGAGGGATTTCACTCATTGTACTGCAGGTGAGGGGAACCTGCTGCCTGTCCTACAGGATCTGCAGGTTTTCATATCCTACAAGTCTGCAGGCTCCCCATATCCCAGTGGAGATATTCTCATTCTCTTTATCCATGTCCACTCACCCCCTCCACTGTCACCCACCTCCTGTCTCCTGGCAGCACAAACTTACTGAGATCTTGCCATCCTTCCAGCACAGGAGAATTGGGGTTCAGGCAACAGAAACCAGGAGAGGACAATGTGACATGATTAGCCACCTCTCCCGTGACCGCAGTCTGGGACATAGGTCCACAGAGAACCAGGGGGAATTCTCTGTGCCTGCTCTTTGCAAGAGCTCCTCATCAAAAGCAAATATCTCTTTCTCCTTGTCCCCATCCCTTACCCTTCCTTCTGCTTCTCCCCTTCCCCTCTCTCTCTGCCCTTCCATAAATCTCCACAACCCATCCCCTTCCCCCTCCTGATTCCACTCCCATAACTCTTCCTCTGCTCTTCCAGCCTTGCCTCTTCACCTTTCAAGATGCCCTCAAATTCTCCAATGTCACCCTTCCTCTGTCCAAACCCAAGAACTAGATAAAACCTGGTCTCAGAGAAGGGACTATGCAGACAGCCTTGACTGTTATTCCACCCTGAAAGTGACTGCAGAAAAATGCCGTTTTCCCCCCTATGCAGCTCATGCCTCGCACACTTAGATCAGCTTTTGTTAGACTAAAATACGTATCCCATATATTTCAGCTTTGCAGATTCAGCTGAGCTCAGTAAGAAGGGCCCGGAGTCTGTTTTGTCTCGTGCACCGTCACCAGAAGTGTTGATTATGATCTGAGTGTGGAGTTTCCACTGCTGGGGATACAGGAGCCAGAGAGGCCCCAGCTTGCTTTTTGGATTCCAGGCTGGGTTTGCAGGGTTGCCATCTGAAAACAAATATATCTCTACTTGGCAAATCAGCAGATTTGTCATGGTAATCACTGAGAGACAATAAGCATGAAATCCTGCCATGACATTTTTATGGAGTCATTTTTCCAAGTAGAAGAATTTTTGTAAATAATGTTGCATGATTTTCACTAGCATTAAAAACACTGGGAATCATTTTCCCCTGTGCCTGCTCTGCTCAGCACAGCAGCCCAGGAGGGGGAGCAGGGATGTGGGAGGAGATTATTAAGGAATTAGTTCTCTCTCTCTGACTCTGAGGGCTCATCTGCACTGAGCTGGGTCCTGGCATATGTTTGAAGAGCCACTGAAGTGCCCCAGCTCTGGTGTCAGCAACTGCAGTGACGAAGACAGCGTGTGGGCAGTGCTTGAGTGGGACACAACGGGGCTGGGTGCAGGGCTGGGAGCTGGGAGCCAGAACACCCTCGAGAGGCAGCAGCTCCCAGCAGCTCCCACCAAACCTCTGGCTTGGCTGGGGTGAGAACTGCTGCCTCACACAGGAATATATGGGTGCATGGTGTCTTGGTTGCTTGGGAGGAAGGGCCTACTGGCTTTCTACCAGCACATTTAACCTCCAGTTCAGGAAAGAAAAACACAGCCTGGAATAATTATCTGGAAGGGTTGTTGTAGGATCCAAACAGAGCATTGCTATAGCAGGGAAAAAAACTTTACCTTTCTTCTTCTCCATCATGCTCTCTGCACTGGAGGAGGAGTAAAGGAGGATGAAGGGTGAATCTGCTGGTCTTATGTCAACTGCGTGTTCCCTGCTTTCATGCTGGGAAAATTTTCAGTTGGCTCATTCTGCCCAGACTGTGTTCGGGCATGGATTTCAGAATCCAACCCAGAGTCTGTAATTTCAGCCTGTGATTCAGCTTTTCTGGCATAGATAATGTATGGCAATAAGCTTGAGATCATACCAGGTCACTCAGAGCAAAAGTGAATCCGAGACTAAAATGGGCTGTGGTGATGAGGGACAAATGGAGAGCACTTTTGTAAACACAGGTCAGATTGGATCCACAAAAGAAATTATAGAAAATGCTTTATGTAGGTAACTTGAAGAAAAGGTTAAAAAAATCATGTATCTGGAATGTACAGCTCAGAGATGCTTAATATTCACAAATGGAAACAACAGTAATTACTTTCTTGATGTTTAATTTCAGCAGCTCATAGAAATAAAGCTTACAGCCACCTTGCAAAGGCTCTAAAGAAAATAGCTGTCTTTCTCCATATCCCATCTGAATATCAGCTGTAGGAAAGCACAAATGTCTGTCACACTCTGGTCCAGTAAAAGAGGGGCAGAGAAGCCCATATTTGGCTCTGGGCTTCCTACCTGATAGATTAAGTTATTCTGACAGAATTGGTATGAGGATTTGTCATCATCCTAAGGGGTTTGTTCTTCCCTTGCTGTATTGCATACGAAGCCCACTGAACTGAATGGGATCTAATGAGAAGGGAAAGATGACATTGCATTTAGGAAGAAAACTGAATGACTCCTGTGCCTTTTTCAAGTGAGGGCAATCTCTGAAAGCTGGGGGCTGTAGTCAGTGTCCTAACAAATCATCCTCAGAGGGGCCTGCTGGCTGAGCCCAAAGCTTGATGTGATTGCCACGGGTCAGCCCCCATCTCTCACTTACAGCACTGCCAGGTGGAGAAGCCGGGATTCATAGATTGCAAAATCAGATGACACCACCTAATCCAGCCTTCTGTATAAGAGAAGCAAGAGATGCTTATCCAGCCACCCTTGTATTGAACTTAAAACCTGAAGCAGCCACGTACCTCTTTTAGGCAGGACACCTGTACTGCCCATGCAATCCCTGCTCCAGCAGAATTGCTCTTGTAGGGCCTCAGAACGACCAGAGCTTTCACCGGCCTGAGTCTGTCTGCCCCGTGGTCTTCCAGAGAGATGGGAGCATGTGAGAGCTTTTTCATTTCTAAACCTCACAGGAACCAGTGAGACGATATCACCTATTTGTACCAGTATTGACACACATTTAATTTTCTTTGTGTGCCTGTGTGTAAATATGGGTGTTTAATAATATACCAATATACACAAAATATGTGTGTACACATTCATATGCACACACAGAGAATATTATTTTAATGGGTTTAGATCTGCCTACGCACTGAAAGGTCACTCAGCGATACCTGCTATTATACTAATATTTTCCAGATGGAGTTCTAAAATCATTGTAGAGGAAAGGGCCCACAGAATATTTTTATTTAAATATATTCAGCATAAATATATACTACAAAAACTGTTGAATTAGAATCTTCAGACCTACAAGTATTTTGAGTATTCTAGCAGCAGCTTTAAAAAAGGAATTTGGTTTGTATTTTGGAAAGTTTTCTGTTTCTGTTTCTTGCATTCATATAAAAACTGCCTTTGCCCAATGGTAGGAATGTCATTACCAATTTATTTTTCTTTTTTTCTATATTATATATATATATATATATATATAAAAAAAAGAGAGAGAGAAAAAGAACAC